TATATATATATACACACAATGTGGTGTATATATATATATACACACAATGTGGTGTATATATATATACATATATCACAGTTTTTTTAATCCATTCATCCATCGATGGACACTTAGGCTGTTTCCATACCTTTGGCTATTGTAAATAACGCTGCAATGAACATGAACATGCAGATATCTTCTTGAGTTAGTGTCTTCATTTCCTTTGGATAAATATCCAGAAGTGGAATTGCTAGACCAGAGACGTCAGACTTCACGCCACAGCAAACTGCAGCGACAGCTGCTGGAGCTGTCCTGATCCCTCTGCAATGTGCTTCCACACTGATTCAAGCCCACGCTGCTGGACCATCGCTCCCATTTCATAGATGGGGACCTGAGACTCAGACTGACAGGTGAAGTGATCCAGCCGTGGTCACACAACCTGCAAATGGTGGGACTGGGATTCCACCCCTAGGAAGTGGAGTCCCAAGCCAGGGCTCTTAACCAGTGAATTATTCTGACTCCACATGGTAATGGCAGTGGACATCTGTGGATTTTGCCTAAACATCCATTCTTCCTTCCGCTGGTGACCTCATCTGAATTTTCTTTGGGGAAACACACCCACCACTCATCACCTCAATCTACGTGATTTGGGTGAAACTGATATGCCCTGGGGAGCAGAGGAGGAACACAAGATGGAACAGGCCCCAAGGTTTTGAACTGGCAGAAGAGCAACTGTAGTTCATCCTAGGCTCCGCTGAGCTGCAGGACCCAGACCCTCGTGTTCTGCAGCCACTTGTGCCCTTGAGAAATAAACACAGCTGCCAGAAAGCAAGAGGTTTTCCGCATATATACACAGATGGAAAAGGAACTCGAGGTGCTTTGAGACGCAAAGTATTTGAAAAAAATGTCAGCACGTACACAGAGCACGGAAGAAGGAGACAATCCAATGCAAAGACACAATTAGGCTTCAGAAAAGGAATAAAGGCTGAACGCACAGACCAGCCCCAACCCACTGGGTGCACTGTGTTCCATCTGCGGCCTTGGCTCCACCGCCCTCTAGTGGTCTGACAGGCAGATTTTAACTGAATTCCAAGTGCAGGAAGAGGGTAAAACTG